ATCGAGATGCTGTTGCTCTGTTACGCGGCGAGGCTGATTTACACGGAGAACTTGGACGATCAGTTAACTATTGCGGAACATCCAGTGGAAAGCAAGAGGACGGAGCTCGTGAACGGGGGAGCCGCCGACACCCTGAGAATCAGCGAGCGTAAATAGAACGATGCCGCGTCCTAAGGAGCAAAGGCGAGGCAGCTATCGCTTCTATCCGAAAGAGAATCTTTTGGGCGCGCTTCTGCGTCTAGTAGGATGCTCGTTGATTAGGCAGCGATAGCGAATGCAATGGTCCTTCGTAATCAATTGAAGAAGAACGCTGCATTGCTTTTTGTTTTTAAGGACTGAGAAAGAAAGGACAGATGTGCACGAGAACATAATGGAAGAAGGTGCGATAAGCAATGCGATTATAATACATAATGGCTTGTACTATTAATCCACACAAATCATTATTATAGAGGTTTTACATATAAACAACGGTTAACCAATGCACATAACCTTCGATTTCTCATGAATTTTGATGCTTTAATGAATTTTTACCGATAAACTTGTGTTCATCTTAAGCACTAACATAAAATTAAATGCTTTATTAGCTTTTATATACCCATATTTAATGTCACATGTTATTCCGATATGCGTAAAAGATAAATTGAACAGTTCAAGTCGAAGATTTCTGACGCTCATTAGAATAATTTAATTAATCGATTGAAGAAATTACGTTAGTGATTTGATAGAGATTTGGGATGTTGTAAAATAAACAAAACGTTAAGAAATCAATGGATTTTTCAATTGATATAAAACAAATAGATTTTCAAAAAAAATTTAATTAAATGCACAATATCAATAATAACTATTATTCGAGTTCGAAAATTGATTTTAACGCAATTCATAAAGCCAAATAACTTTAATGGAGCTTAGTAATTAATGTACCTTTCCAATAATTATTAATTACAATAAGAAAAAAGTTACTAGTAGTTATTATGACAAAAACAAAACGTTAAAAATAAAAAATAATTTTTTTGGAGCTACGAATTTTTCGAAAAATAGTTCTATATAATATATACACATGGGAAATGTATAAATGAATCATGAGAAAGTAAAATATAATCTAAATTCCAATTTTTTTTTTAATTATATGGGAGATTAAAGGTCGGTAAAACAGATTTCACCAAAATCAGTCACAAATATTATTAACTTGTGTGAAAAATTATTACATAGATTGTTCATAATTTTGAAAATAAGCATTTCATGTAATGAATAATGCAAGGAGAGTCGTGAATGTTTTTCAAAACTTTTTTATGAATTTATAATTCTTTGACTCGATATTATCTTTCTAATACGTAGTTCTATTCAATTTGATTAATTTGAAATCCAATTCTAGTTAACTACTATTAATAATTCTTCGAAAC